GCCACTGTCACCCCTGGTCCTGAGAAGTTCATCTGTCCTAGATTCCCTGCGTTTCCAATTCCCATCTGTACCGCTGTGCATCATCTGGTGTAACCAGGTCTGTAAGGCAGAATTGGGGTCCTGGTAGTTGGGGGAGAAATTTTACTCTTTCAAAGACATCTTTACAATTAAAAATGCTAGCCACAAACTGGGAAAAATATTTGGAAAACATACTTGATAAAGGAATTGTATCTAGAAAACATACATAATGAAGTCTTCACATACACTAATAGGACAAATGACCAAATGTTAGAAAGAGCAAAAAAGATCATGTTTCCCCATAGAATTTTCACATACTAATGTATGTTATGAACAAACATTCAATGTCGTCAGTCCTTACTGCTATTGCTGGGAGTCATCCAGTTGGTTACGACTCACAGCGACCCTACGTACAGTACAACAGAGCGAGGCAGTCGGCCCTGCACCATCTGCACAATTGTTATGTTTGGGCATTAGTAATGAGAAAGGTAAACTACAATCACAATGGAATACCTCCATACAATCACTAAAACGGCTGAAAAAGAAAAATCCAAAAAGCATTGGGGAAGACGTGGAAAACTAGACCCCTCATACTTTGCTAGTGGGAACATGAAATGGCATGGGCACTTTGGAAAACAGTTTGGCAGTTTCTTAAAAAGTGAAATACACTCTGCTGCTGTGGAGATAGTTCTGCGTCAGAGTGGCCCAATAGGATAGAGCAGAACTGCCCTGTAGGATTTCCAAGGTGTAATCTTTATGAAGTCGATTGCTAAATATTTCTTCTGTGTGATGGTTGGTGGGTTTGAACTGCCAACCTTTCAGTTAGCAGCTGAGCGTGAAACCAAGCCTCCTTATATTTATCATAAGACCTAGCAATTCCACTTGCAGGTATACATCCAAGGGAAATGAAACACATTAAAAGCCAGAAACTGCAATGAGATTCAAGTGTCTTATCGATTAGAGAATAACTAGACATATGGTATATCCGTACAAAATGTAATAAGCCAAAAAAAAAAAAAGAGAAAAGGGTGAAAACATGGATGATTCTCATATACAGACAGGAATCACATGCAAAAGACTACATACTGTATGCTTTTATTTATATAAAGTTTCTAGAAATGGCAAAACTATAGAGAAAGCAAATCAGTTCTTTGGCTGGAGAGGGCAATAAGGGTGGACAATTAAAAAGCATGAGAACTTCTGGGGTGATGCAAGGGCTCTAAAACTGGACTGTGGTGAAGGTTGCACAACTACACACATTGACTAAAATGCAAACCACATGCTTAGAATGAGGGAATTTATGGCATATAAATGAAAGTTAAATTAAAAGACTGAAAAACTGACAACCACCAAAGACTACTGGCTTGGATGGAGAAAGGCTTATTCAATTGGGGAAGAGCACAGAGGGGACATCTATGAAACTAGCAGGCCAGGCGGTTCGGTCTATTTTCTATATGTTCATCTTCCAGTGTTTCAGCAAACCTGGAACTTTCCTATCCAAAGCCTCATCCCATACCTGAATCAATACTGAGGACATCATCGTCTTCATCAGGAATCTCAATTATTTCTGTAGGATGGGAAGCTTCATCCTCAGAACTACTTTCCCGGTACTGCAGTCCCAGATTGGAGTAGAAATCTTTCACCAAAGACTCACAATTAGTCACTGCCCTATTTGGGGATGCATGTGAGAAAGGTCAAAGTCAGTTCAAGAAGCAGGTGTTTTCAAAAACTCAAATTCACTGCCATTAAGTTGATGCTGACTAATAATAACCGCATTGGGCAGGGTAGAACTGTCCCTGTGTTTCTGAGACTTTAACTCTTTACAGGAGTAGAGCGCCTCATCTTCCTCCCTCGGAATGACTGGTGGTTTCAAACTGCTGTCCTTGCAGTTAGCAGACCAATGAGTAACTGCTATCAAGGCTCCTGCTTCAGTTTCCCAAAATCCTCTAGGGTGGGAGAGGGAGGGAATAAAGAGTTGATATCAAAGGGCTCATACTTGAGAAGAAAATGTTTTGAAAATTATGATGGCAGCATCTGTACAAGATCGCTTGCTATAATTGATTTATGGATTGTTATAATATCTGTTAAGAGCCCCCAATAAAAGAATCAATTTAATATATATATATATATATATCTTAAAAGGTTCAAAGCACAAACTCTTCAATCTGAACCTCATTTAACTTGTGATTTGAAAATGTGTTTCAAGTGACAAATAAGGTCCCATAAATATTCTGGGGTTTAAGAGTAGATACAAGGTTTTAGAAATTCACTAATGCTCTGGAGCTACATAAAACAGCAAGCAATTCTTAACAATTTTCACTCTAAAAATTTCCTTAGGGAAGCAAAGTAGGATGGAGTATTAAGTAGGAATACTGAGGAAAAAGGAAAAGGAACTCAAGATCTGGACTCTTCTATTATTGATCATATATGTTCGCCTCTGATAGATGGATATTATGGGCAATTGTGAGCTCTGACTTTGAACCATAAACTTTGAGGCAGAATAAGGTCCATACAGTTATACTTTATGAACTAACTCCATGGTGCTAG